CTCCCAGATTCATTGATTATTTGAAGGGTTTTTTGTGTCTCTATCTTCTTCAGTTCTACTCTAATCTTAGTTATTTCTTGTCTTCTGCTCGCTTTTGAATTGGTTTGCTCTTGCTTCTCTAGTTATTTTAATTATTATGTTAGAGTGTCGATTTTAGATCCTTCCCATTTTCTGAGGTGGGCATTTATTGCAGTTAATTTTTCTCTTAACAAAGATTTAGCCATGTCCCAGAGATTCTCGTACATTGGCTCTTTGTTCTCATTGGTTTCAAAGAACATTTTATTTCTGCATTCATTTTGTTATTTACACAGTAGTCATTCAGGAGCAGATTGTTCAGTTTCCAAGTAGTTGTGCAGTTTTGAGTGGGTTTCCTAATCCTGAGTTCTAATTTGAACAATGAGAACAAATGGACAAAGGGAGGGGAGCATCACACACTGGGATCTGTGCAGGAGGACTAGGGGAGGGCCAGTGGGGGGTGGAGAGTTGAGGAGGGATAACATGGGGAGAAATGCCAGATATAGGTGATGGGGAGGAAGGCAGCAACCCACACTGCCATGTGTGTACTTATGTGACAATCTTACATGTTCCTCACATGTACCTCAAAACTTAAAATGCAATAAATAAATAAATAAATAAATAAATAAAGATAAATAAAGGTAAAGCACTTTTCAAAGAGCTTGAAACATAATAATGACCTATTTTAAATATAACACTTAGATTTAAGTCAGTTAATATCTGTATACATTAGTTTCCTCAAAGGTAAAAGTAGAAAGTCACTGTTTAAAGGTTCTATTATTATGAAGACAAAACAAAACAAAACAGAAAGAAAAATAACCAAAAAACCTCTAGCATTTTGCTGACAGATAATCTCTCTCACAAACAGTGAATGTCATTAAACAAGAAAGAAAATTACAAAATTAGAGTTTTGAACAAGACAGTTTTCATTTAACAAAATAAGTTGCCAAAATAAAAGAGTTTGAACATTTATAATCAGATAAGCTGGAATGTCAAAATTGTAGCTTGAAAATGACATCAGAAAAGATTAAATATTTTTCTCTTTGCTGATGAGGAGGCTGAGAACCACAGAAGTTAACTGACAACTAGTTAGTGACAGAGGTAGGACTTCCTGAATCTCTGTGACAATATTCTTTCCACTATACCAAATCTCTTAATTTACCTTACTAGTTATCTACAATTTCATTAGAAATTAAAGATAGTGGAAATAATTTAATCCATAAGATTTTAGACCATTGGATGACGTTTTATTATGTAAGACATATAAAATTGGATAAAGTAGTTTGTGTTTTTTAACCTGAAAATTTGCATTTCCCAGTGCTATAAGGATCATTACTGGATTTACATGGCCGTTATATTTTATCCCTTAAAAATAAGCTTGATATATTTACTTAAATAATTCACCTCTTGGTAGATATTTTAGTGAAGTCTAGAGTCCAATCACTCCGTAATATTGAAATTGGATTGGACTTTGTGGAGTTTAGCATCTTTTGAGTGTTTACTTGGAACATTCCGAAGCAGCAATTAAAATAATTAAGGAGGGTGAAGAAATCTTCAGCATGCAACAAAGATTTCTGCAAAATGTTAATTTCTGTCAAATAAGTGAATCTAGGCACAGATGCCTCCTGACAGAGGCTGTGATTTCAAAATGCTTTGCATGCCAAATAACTTGTTTACCCCCTCAATGTTTGCCAAGTTTACTGTCAGTTTACAAATAATTTCCATTTTGCTGTTTATTCCACTGCCTTTTGATAGATATGTCTTCCAGACTTTTATCTTGCATGTAGACAAACTAATTAATATTTTCCCTTCAGGCAAATATTTTTTTCTTAGATCTAAATGTGGGTTAGATTCATCTTCATTTCCATATGCTTTGTTCTGTCAATCATCTATGTTCTGTGTTGCTAAAAATATAGTTCAGTGGATGTAATTTTCCATGTTGTACTACACACACACACACACACACACACACACACACACAACTTATCAACTTATTTTTCAGCATATACATTTGGACATATAACATCGATGCTATTGGAAAACCCATTTTTGTAGTAATATGAAAACTTGAGAAATCAACTTTCAGAATAGGAAATATTATACTTAAAATCAGCTTGTGGAACTTTTATCACTCTATTAGTCTTGGCCATTTATGTATTAAAACTTGAACCACCCCACTTCACTGAGGCTCCAAATCAAAATTACGTAATATCTCTTAATGTGTGTGCTTATTTATAAGCATCCTTAAAAATGAAAACAGAATCAGGTACAAACAGATAAGTCCTAAAGGTAGAGAAGAACAGAAATTATGCCACTTGAAAACATTTAGCCAAACATGAAATGGTAAAATAATTCTTTCTTTTTTATTTCCAAATTTTTTTTTTAGTTTTACAGGTTACAGGCATAGGTTAATTATATGGGTAAATTACTGTTGCAGGGGGTTTCTGTACAGATTATTTTGTCTCCCAGGTTGTGCAAATAGTATACAATAGGCAGTTTTTCAATCCTTGCTCTCTTCCCCTCTTTACCCTTAAGAGAGCTCTGCTGTCTCTTGCTCTCTTCTTTGTCTCCACATGTACTCAATATGTAACTCCCACTTATAAGTGGTAATATGTGGTATTTGTTTCTCTGTTCCTGTGTTAATTTGCTTATAATGGCCTCCAGCTCCATTTGTGTTGCTGCAGAGGACACAATTTCATTTTTTGTGGCTGCATAGTATTCCATAGTGTATATTTACCAAATTTTCTTTTTGAAAATTTTAAAACAATTTTAATGAACACATAATAAGTATATATATTATGGAGTACATGCAATACATTAATACAGGTATAAAATAAGCAATAATCACATCATCAAAATGGGGTATCCATCCCCTCTAGCATTTATCCTTTGTGTTACAAACAATACAATTACATTCTTTTAGTCATTTTTAAATTTACAATTAAGGCATTACTGACTACAGTCACTCTGTTATGCTATCAAATAGTATGTCTTTTTCATTCTTTCTATTTTTTTCTACACATTAATCATCCCTACCTCCCCTACAGCCCCTCATTATCCTCAGTCTCTGGTTAGCAATCCTATTCTCAATCTTTATAAATTCATTTGTTTTTATTTTTAGAACTCACAAATAAGTGAAAACATAAGGAGTTTGTCTTTCTGTGACATGATGACCTCCAGTTTCATCCATGTTTTGGCAAATAATAGAATATCATTATTTTAATTTTTATAACTGCATGATACTTCATTGTGTATATGTAGCATCTTTTCTTTGCCTAGTACACCACTGATGAGCATCTAGGCTAATTTAATGTCTTGGCTATAATGAACAGTGCTGTGATGAACAGACTCATTCAAGTGTCTTTATGGTAGAGTAATTTATATCCATTTGGTTATATAGCCAGTACGAGAATTGCTGGGTCAAATGGCAGTTCTGTTTTAAGTTATAATTGAACACATTTTCTATGAGTAAAAATCTACTAGCTCTAAAACAGTTGTTTTATTTTTTTCTTTCAAACTTTATTTATTTATTTATTATTACCTTTTAGGTTTTAGGGTACATGTGAAGAACATGCAAGATTGTTGCATAGTAACAAATCACACATGGCAGTGTGATTTGCTGCCTTCCTCCCCTTCACCTATATCTGGCAATTCTCCCCATGCTATCTCTCCCCAACTTCTCATCCCCCACTGTGCCTCCCCTATTTCCCTTCGACAGTCCCCAGTGTGTAGTGCTCCCCTCCCTGTGTCCATGTGTTCTCATTGTTCAACACCCGCCTATGAGTGAGAACATGCAGTGTTTGATTTTCTGCTCTTGTGCCCCATCATCCTCAAACTTTTATATTACATTCATGAGTACAAGTGCAGGATTGATACATTGATTGGTAAATTGTGTGTCATCAGGTTTTTGGTCACCCAGGTGATCAGTGGAGTACCTGGTAGGTAGTTTTTGATTCCTCACCATTCACCCAACTTCCACCCACAAGTAGGCTCTAGTGTCTATTGCTCCCTTCTTTCTGTCCATTTGTGCTCAATGTTTAGCTTACACTTATATGTGAGAGCATGTGACATTTTATTTTATGTTTCTGCATTAATTTGCTTAGGATAATAGTCCCTAGATCCATCCTTATTGTTGCAAAGTGCATAATTTCATTTTTTATTATGGTGAGGTAGTACTCCAAGGTGAATACGTACCACAGTTTCTTTATCCATTCCACTATTCATTGGCATCTAGATTTATTACATGACTATGCTCTTGTGAATGGTGCTGCCATGAAGATAGGCATGCATGTGTCTTCATGGTAGAACTATTTATATTCCTCTGGGTATAGACTCAATAATGAAATTGCTTAGGCTTTTTAAAGTTCTGTATTTTAAGTTCTTTGAGAAATTGCCAGACTGCTTTCTACAGTGGCTGATCTAATTTACATTCCCACTAGCAGAACATAACTATTTTCTTTTCTTCCCAACCTAGCCATTATCTGTTGGTTTTTGACCCTAGAAGTAGCCATTCTGACTGCTGCCAAATCAGATCTCATTGTGGTTTTGTTTGCATTTTCCTAATGATAACTGATACTGATATTTTTTTCATATACTTATTGGCTTCTTTTTATAATGTTCTCTTCATGTTCTTAGTCCACTTATTAGTTAGGTTGTTTAGCTTTGCTTATTGACTTGTTTAAATTTCTTACAGAATATGGACATTAGCCCTTAGTCAAATGCATAGTTTGCAATATTTTATCCCTTTATGTAGGTTGTTTGTTTATAGTCTATCTGTCTATAGTTTCTTTTTTTTTTTTTTTGAAAAGAATGAAGAATTTTATTATCTAATTGTCACATTAGGTAAGAACTTAGAAAACAAACTCAAAAGAACATAAGATAAAAGGTCATAAGATAGTGAATCAGAAGTTAAATTTTTGTTGCTTTGTTTTAAAAAAATTTTCTTATAAATACATATCAGAATAATGCATCAGTTTTGTATCTCTCAAATCTAAACAGGGAATTCTTTGAAGTTATTTCAATTTCATAATCCCAGAACTTCATTTCTTACAAAGAATAAAAATAATTCAAACCATTACAGTAAGGAAAATGGGTATCCATCACATACTGTCATAGAGACTCACTGAAATAGATCACTTATTTATTTCCCCATTCCATTCAAGTGCTTTCATAAATTCCTCCTCAGTGAAAGACAGCATCTTGGCAGCTTCAAAATGCATCTTCTGCCTTTTTAAAACATCAATTAATTTTAACTGTTTCTTGAACCCTATGATTAATTCTCCTTTTTGTTTTTCTAGCTTCTTGTTTTCTGATGTTAACACTTCAATTTTTTTGTGGTCTTCATTTGTTATGTCCTTGTTATTTTGCCTTAATTTATTTAACTCCAGTTTATACTTTTCTGCTTCTTCTAGAGCTCTATTCAAGTGAACCTCTGTGGCACTTTGACTACTTGCAGCCTGTTTTTGCAATCTTCTTTTATCTTCTAATTCCCTTTCTACTGAAGACAACTGTTGCTGTAATCCATCACACTTTTTGTTTGCTTCTTCGAAAAGAGCCTTATATTTTTCGACTTGAGACTGTTGCATATGAATTGTTCGCCGCTGTTTCATAAAATCATCTTCAAAATTTCTTACTTGTAACTTTAAATTCTGAATTTCATCCTCCTTTTTATTGCATTCGCATGCAACATTATCCAATTCTTCCTGCATAACATGGAGTTTGGCCTTTAGAAATCTGAGCTGTGCTTCTGCTCCAATGTCGTTACTAGCACCAGAAAAAATATCATCTATATATTCAGGTAAGCCTTCTTCCTCCAGTTGCCCTTCAATTTTGCTAAATGTTTCTGCAAGGGAAAAGTCTGAAAAATCCTCTGGAATGGCAACATCGTTGGCAGTCTGTACATCAGAATATTTCAATTTAACACTTGAATTTGTTTTCCTTCCTTTATTTGCAGAGTGTAATTTGTTTTGAACCTTGTTTACAGGATCAATGTTTTTGGTCTTTGACTTAGTTTCTGAATGAAGATCAACTGTCCCTTCAGATGGTAATGGACCTCTTAAACTATAATCGTCTTTGTCATCACATGATTTCATTTGTGTTGAAAGAGGCCTAGATCGTAGTTCTTGCCGATCTAATTATTTCCTTAGCTTGTCGAACCACGTCAGCTGTTTTTGCCTGCAATTCTGCATTTAAACGCTTTTTTTCTTCCTCCAAAGCGAGGAGGTCCGGTTCAGGTGCAGAGGGTTGCTGAACGGGTGGCGGGAGCGGACTTCGTGGAACGCTGCTTCTCGAGGGTCCAAGACTTCGCCCCGCCATCTTCGGCAACTCTAGTTTCTTTTGCTATGCAGATTCTCTTTAATTTTGTCTCACTTGTTAATTTTTTTTTTTTTTTTTGAGACGGAGTTTCGCTCTTGTTGCCCAGGCTGGAGTGCAATGGTGCAATCGGCTCACTGCAACCTCCGCCTCCTGGGTTCAGGCAATTCTCCTGCCTCAGCCTCCTGAGTAGTTGGGATTACAGGCACACGCCACCATGCCCAGCTAATTTTTTTGTATTTTTAGTAGAGACGGGGTTTCACCATGTTAACCAGTATGGTCTCGATCTCTTGACCTCGTGATCCACCTGCCTCGGCCTCCCAAAGTGCTGGGATTACAGGCTTGAGCCAGTTGAAATTGTTTTCGGGATCTTTCTCATGAAATGTTTGCCAGAGCTGATTTCCAGAGTGGTAGTTCCTAGTTTGGCCTGTAGAGTTTTTGTAGGTTTAGGTTTTACATTGGCATTTGATCAGTCTTGCATTTATTTTTGTATACAGTGAAAGGAGGGGCTCCAGTTTCAATCTTCTGCCAGCCAGTTATCCCAGCACAATTTATTGAATAGGGGCTTTTTGCTCATGGTTTATTATTGTCAGCTTTCTTGAGGATCAGATTATTTTAGGTGTGTGGCTTTATTTCTCAGTTTCCTAAACTCTTGCATTGGTGTGAATGTCTGTTTCTGTACTAGTACCATGCTGTTTTGGTTAGTGTAGCCTTGTAACATTATTTTAAGTCACATCGATTTCGTTGGCTATTTGGGTCTTTTATTGGCTCCATATGGATTTGACAATACATTTTTATAATTATGTGACAAATGTCATTGTTAATTTGATAGGGATAGCATTGAATCTGTAAATTGCTTTGGGCAGTATGGCCATTTTAACAATATTAGCTATTCCTATTCATGAGCATGGAATGTTTTTTCATTTATTTGTGCCATCTCTGATTTTTTTATCAGTGTTCTATAATTCTTGTAGAGAACTTTGACCTCTGTAGTGAGGAATTTCATTCTTTTCGTGGCTATTGTGAGCAGGATTGCATTCTTAATTTGACTCTCAGATTAGATGCTATTGGTGTGTAGAAATGCTACAGATTTTTCAAAATAGATTTTGTATCCTGAAACTGTGCTGAAACAGTTTATCAGATTTACAAGCCTGAATATATTTGTTAGTTTTTTGTCTCCATGATCTGTATTAGATCATAGAGGCAAAATGAAGGGTAATGTCTCTAGGGGTCAGAGGGATAATGAAGTCTCCCACTATTATTGTGTAGTTTTCTAATTTTCTTTGCAAGTCTCTATGAACTTGTTTCATAAATCTCAGTTTTCTAGTGTTGTTTGCATATTTATTTGAAATAATTAAATCTTCTTGTTGAATTGCATTATCTACCATGATGTAATGCTATTATTTTTCCTTTTTGATTGTTGGTTTAAATGCTGTTTTGTCTGAAATAATAATAGCAAATCTACCCATTTTTGTTTTCTGTTTACTTGATAGATCTTTCTCTTGCCCTTTACTTAGAGACTAGGGGTGTCCTTGCATGAGAGACATATCTTTGGAAGAAAGCATACAGTTGAGTCTTGCTTCTTTCTTGAACGTGTGACTTTGTTCCTTATAAATGGGGCATTTAGCCTATTTAAATTCAAGGTTAATATGAGTATTTGCAAATTTAATTTTGTTATGTTTTAGCTGGTTGTTATGTAGACTTGATTGTATAGTTGTTTTATAGTGTCAATGGTCTATGTACTTATGTGAACTTCTGTGTTGGCCAGTAATGGGTTTTCCCTTAGAACTCCCTGAAGAACCTCTAGTAAGAAATATCAGGTGGTAATGATTTTCATTTGTTTCTCCATTGATTATGAATCATAGCTTGACTGAACATAAAATCCTTGGTTGAAAATTGTTCTTCTTAGAATGCTGACCATAGGTTCCTGATCTCTTCTGGCTTGTAAAATTTCTGCTGAAAAGTCTGCTGTCAGCTTGATGGGGTTCCTTTTGTAGTTAACCTTTCACTTCCCTCCAGTTGTCTTTAATATTTCATTCTCTCACATTGACCTTGTAAAATCTAATTACTATGTGTCTTGGGGATAGTTGTCTTGTATACTATCTTGCCAAGCTTCTTCAAATTTCCCAAATTTGAATGTCAACCTGTCCAGCAAAGTTGGGAAAAATTTTGTGTACAAAAAATTCTCAAATATGTTCTCTTAGTATCTTGCTCTCTCTCTTTCTCTTTCAGAGATAACAATGAATTATATGTTTTGTCTCCTTACCTAATCCCATATTTCTCAGAGATTTTCTTAATTTTTTTAATTTTTTTCTCTTTATTTTTGTCTGACTGGGTTCATTCAAAGAACTGGGCTTGGAGCTCTGAAATTCTTTTCTCAGGTTGGTCTATTCTTCTCTGAAATTTTGATAGTTTTTCAGCTCTATCAAATCAGTTTAGTTCTTTCTTAAAATGGCTAGTCTTTCATCTATTAAATTGTTTTACTAGATTCCATAGATTCCTTGGATTGTATTTTAACTTTATCCTGAACCTTTATGATCTTCATTACCATTCAGATTTTGAAATGTATAACAGTCATTTAAGCTATTTCAATCTGAGTCAGAACAATTGTTGGGAACTAGCGTAAACATTTGCAAGTATAAAGACACTTTTCTTTTCATCTCTGCTTGTTGTTTCTTTACCTGTGCTGTAATTTGAGTATATTCGATTGGCTTCATTTGCGAATGTTTTTAGAGAGCCAAGGATTTCGGAGATGGTCTTTAATTGTGGCTGAATTGTTCTTGGATTCAAAGAAGTGTACCTTAGCACATTTGATTTTGCATGAAAATGCTCTAGGACTGTGGGTTCCACTCCCTCTCAAGTTCTGGCCACTTATCTTGGCTTGACACTACCAGACTATGCACCACAGAGCTGGACGTTTTGTCCCCTCCCCAGCTTTGGGACAGTGGAGGTGGGATTCTTGGCAGTGGTAATGTAAAAGGGTCTTTCACTTGTCTCTGGGGGGTTCCACACCAGAGAAATGCTGAGTTGCTGCCAATCAGAATGATTATACAGGAGCAGCTGTGTTGTGGGCCCAAGCCTTTCAACCCTGCCTGGTGAAGAACATGGACTTATGAGAAAGTGGCAGTGGACTTATGAGAAAGACAGTTTGGTCTCTTCTCCATAGGGTGGCTGTGGCATGGTGGGGGTACAAGTAAAGCCCTCAAGCTCTTTGTGGCATTCCCAGCATGTTGGCAGTGGTAGAGTGGTTGCCAGCAGCTTCTGAGAACTCCTCTTAAAAGAGAAATAATCGACTGCCAATGATAATATTCAGCAAATAGTGGAGATGCTCTGCTATAGGCCCAAGTTGGGCATACCACCTGGTGTAAGGCAGGGCATCAGTGGCTCACAGAGAAGGGACACTGACCCCTTCTCCATATGGCAGCTGCAGTGTGCTGGAGGGGCAAAGAAAATGATCAAGGTCTTTGTTCCTCTCCAACTCAAGGAAAGAAAGGTAGTAGTAATAGTGGAAGGATCAGTTCCCAGGGATGGAACTTCCAGGGTCAGTTGCCCCTAGAACTTTATTGTAGAGTGACACAGAGCTCCCGCCAAGGAAAATGTTCAGCCAAGGTGAGGCAGCTGCAGTGTGGGCCCAAGTTGGGCACACATGCAGCTTTGTTTCTTGTGTGGAAAACAGTATGGCTGCTTTTCCATATGGCAGCTATGGTGTGCTGAAAGTGGCCTACAATAATAATTCTTGCTCTCTTCATTACTTCCCTAGCCTGTCAGCAGTAGACTGGAGCAATGGCAATAGCTTAGTTATCTATTGGCAATGTCAGTTATCTCTGGGAGCTCTTTCTCAGAGAAATGCAGAACTGCAACTGGCCCAAGTGCTCCATTGGGGATGGGGTGAGGGGGTGGCTATGCTTGGGTTCCAGGCCAATGGGCTGTGCTTGGTGAAGTGTAGCAAAGGCAAGACCTTGAGTCTGTCTGCTCCTCAACACAATTGATTTGGCCCCTCTTTTGGGGGCATTTGAGAAAACCTATCCTCCCCTGTTGGTGGGGCTATGGCACCTGGGATGCTCAAGGATGCAAGATTTTTGGGGTTCCATGTGGGCCTGAGTAATGTCTCTGTCCAGAATCCACACTGCTCTCCATTTTCATTTGGAGACCCCAGAGACAGAGGCAGGAGGATCTTTTGCACCCGGGATTCAAAGGTCCATGGAGGAAGTGTGTGGTTCCTAGGGGTTCTTGCTCAGTCACCCTTTTCCATGGTGGGAATTTTCCTTAGAGTATGTGCCAATCCTAGGTGGGCAGCTGCCCTGACTCACTCCCCTCTGATCTCCGTGTGTCATGTTGCTTCCTTAATGAATCCCAATGTGTCCTCCTGCATAATCCAGTTGAAGAGGTGGTGTTTACTGGCCGTTTGTTTCCTCTGTGACAGCAGACTACACTAGCTGCTTTTAGTCAGCATCTTGACACTTCCCCAGAGCTATTATTTTAACGTGAAGAGCTTATGTGTTTGCATATGTGCAAATGCCTGAAGTGGATTTTTATAAGTGACATAAGTATCTAAGTAAGGATGTTGTACATAAAGATATATATGAAGAAAAATCATATATTATTTGATTACCTCTTTTTTTTAACATGTTTTGCAAGCTTGTAAAATACATAAGCCAAAAAAGAATTCCTAATTTGGATTTTTGCTTAATTTAGAATAATATTTATTTTGAAAATCTGGTCTCTCTGCAAAATATTCTAAATTATGCAAAAATCCAAATTTATTTCCTTATGTAAAATTTACATAAATAGTAAATATAAAACATCTAATGTTATTTCTTATGAACATCGTCCCATTACCACCACCAGTTAAATTTCAGGAAATAAAACTATGGGATCCTGAAAATTCAAATGTAGCAGCTGCACAAATTAACATAACCCTTCAGCAGGTGCCAAGAAATTTGCTCATTTATACTGCAAAGAAAAATACCAATAAGACATAACCAGACAGTCTTGAGATGTACTACAG